TTCTTCTTCTTCTTCTTCTTCTTCTTCTTCTTCTTCTTCTTCTTCTTCTTCTTTTTCTATAATTGACATCGTGAAATGAATCTTATCACTTTTAAGCATCATCAAAGTGTTTCCTTCGTGTATATAGTGAGGCTCTTGGAAATAGTCTACTCCTGAACCTTATTTCAAAATCGTCTTCATTCTCTATGAGTGAAAGGTTTGATTCTCATTACAGCAATACATCGGTTTTGGTACGAAACTCTCTCTCACACACACACACACACACACACACACACACACACACACACACACACACACACACACACACACACACATCATAACAACAGTGGGAGAGAACAAACTTTGTTTTTAAATCCAGTCTTTTCTCCAGTTAGGCCCCTTTTAAAACTTGAAAATTCAGACGAAATGTAACATATCTGATCTGGCTGTATTCGATACTGTAGGCGATTGCACCAAGATAACTACTGTAACAAAAAAATGAAGTAGCCTATAATACTATATTCGCTGTTCCCTGGCGCAGCCGAAAAAGCTCTCGAGCCGCCTTTCTGCTGTCATCTCGAAGTGTGAAATGACATGACTAAAAAATGACGCAGCATTTCTAAGTTCCACATAGCCATCAGGTATCATAGTGAAATTTGACGGTCGATCCGATAGACTTCCGAGGCCTAAATATTGTGCACCCCACACACCCTCTTTCCACATCAGTTTTAAAAATGCAAAATAAACCAACATTATAATAGACACATTTCACTTATAGACACATTTCACTTAGCCCAGTTTCCTCTTGTGGCTGATTGACTTTGACTTTGATCTCGTAGGGCCTACATAAATAATCCATGAGGTACCATAAAGAATTTCATAAATGGTTTCGACGGGCTTCAACATTAAGCAGTACCCTTCTTGGGGGTGTGTCCCCAGAAAGATAGTCGAGCTCTTAGGCCTACATTTTGTGAGAACAACCCAAGTTCTCCTTTATGACCAAACGTACGTCAACGAGTGACCTCTGAACCTTGGCCCGACTTACTTACCCGAGTCCGCAAAAATGCCAACAAACGGGCGGAGGACTCATGACTCAGTTGTCAGTATTCAGTAGGCTTACAGCGGACTCTAGTACGCTATGCTCAGTACGTACAGCCCAAGGAGTTTAGAACTAAATCTACTTTTAATCTCCTTGGTACAGCCGCTAACCGGTCAGGAAAGTATTGTATTTGGCTGTCTTAGGCATTCGACCCATTTCATTATTATTGATCTATTCTTTGAGGCTAGTTGATTTATCATGTATTTCTTCAAGGCAGAGTCAAGGGACTCGGATGTTTTGAAATCTCTTTCTTCTAGTCCAGCTGAGGTTTCGATTTGAAATGTTCAGCTTTACCCAATAAAGTTATAAAGTAAACACTATCGCCACTGCCACTGAAAAGAATAGAGAGTACACGATACATACGGCGGTGCCCAATAGTGCCCATTTTGGCGTTGACCTCAGTCTGTGTTGAATAGTTCAGGGATCACAGTTTTCCGCGGATCTGCGATTTTCCGGGGTTGTGAGAACTTCCCAAAATCCGCGCCGGCGGTCGTAACACCCCGGCCTTAATTAGGTCTTGCCGCGGTAGGCGTTGAGTAGCCCGGAGGTTATAATGAAAGCAAACACCCCCACCCCCCCTCCCCGAAATGTGAATGCTTCATCAGCTGCTATAGCCTAGTACAAGCAGCTATGAAAAGGAGCAAGAGAACCCACCTCTCTGACCACGACACCACCATGAGGGACAAGCACAGAGAAGTTAAAAAATAAACTTTCAACACAGATAGGCTGTAACTGAGAATTCCCTCAGGCCACTCAGGGTATCATCTTAACAAGAGGTTTCATTTTTGAAGTAGCTTTTGACAGTTGTTATACCCATTTAGGAAATTCTTTGGTACCCCATGGATTACGAGATCGAAGTCAAAATCAATCAGGCACAAGAGGAAAGAAAGTGAATGCGTTTAAAAAAATTGATTTGGAGAGAGAGAGAGATAGATATATAGATAGATAGATAGATAGATAGAGAGAGAGAGAGAGAGAGAGAGAGAGAGAGAGAGAGAGAGAGAGAGAGACAGAGAGACAGAGAGACAGAGAGACAGAGAGACAGAGAGAAAAAAAAGGGAGGGGGATGCATAATATTTACGGAAGTCGATCGGATCGATCGTCAAAAAAACTTCAATGTGATCCCTGATGGCTATATGTGGAACTTAGAAATGCTGCGTCATTCAGTCATGTCTTTTTACACTTGGAGATAACAGCAGCGACGTGACAACAGCAAGACGGCTCGAGTGTTTTTTTCTTTCCTACGGTAGTCTAGGGAAATATCCTAGTCTATAAATAACCCCACCTTTTTGCGCTCCCCGAAATTTTGTTACAGTTACACGATGTAGGCCTATGGGCAGATCTACTCTATATCTTATACTTTTTGTTAAGACACAGCGTTTTCTCATTCCTAAAATAAGGCAAAATATTCTTTGCACGTCTTTTTTTTTTGCATTTACAGAAATTCTTTTATAATTTTATTTTCGCCATTAGGTTTAGTGTTCAGGGAAAAAAGGTAAGTAGTTCTATTTGTAATAATAATATTAAGTTTTATCAAAAATTATGTAGTGTTTTTTAATTTTTTTTTTTAAAGTCAGAATTCAGAGTATTGGTTAATTCGTGAACTCATCATGCATGTCCACCTCGCTTGTTGACCTGTTGAGATGAGACTTCAGTGATTGTGACACATTTATTTTTGATAATGTATAACGTATGAAAAAATCCAGGCCTTCATGTTGACATCTTTATACTTCCCTTGGACCAATTAATTGGTAATATTGATAGTTTATGTGCGCTTCATATCAGGGTCAAATAGTTCTATCAACTCATACGCAGAAAAGCAAAGAAATTTGCAGAAGAAAAAGAAGTTTCAAACAGTAGATCATTTGATACACCATCCCGTCCCCCACCAGATTTGATTTAGTCTAGCTATGCGATATACACAGATGAATTGATTTGAACGCATGTCTGCACCCCCCCCCCCCCCCGCCCTCCCGCCCCTCGCCCGCCCACATTTTTCCTAAAAATAAAAGTGCGTTGGGCTCAACCTGTGTATTGAATAGCCATGTGGAACTTTAGAAATGCTGCGTCACTCACACATCGAGATAACAGCGGCGACAGCAACAAGACGGGGTGGGTTTTTTTCCCGATATGAGTTCCGCCGAGGACCGGCCGACAACTATATATAAAACCTTTGCTAAAACCCTTACTCTTGTATTGTATAGTTTGCCAGTTTGCTTAGAGGACCTTAATAATTATTGTCACGGTAAGTGCCGACCCTCTGCGGAACTCATACCATTTTTCTTTTCGTTCCTGTGGTATAGGGATAATCCTATAGTGCTGTCAAAAATTCGAAGCGCAACTTATTGTTAGATATTTCTTCAACTATCAAACATAAACTCTCCAGCTTTTGCTCAATGACTCGTATCAATTTGTCTTAACAGATCAATATTTTTGTGCAGACCTGTTAGCTATATTCTAGAAATAATAAATGCTAAAAACAAATCCTAGTGGGTGGTTTCTACCGATTTTAAAATGTTTACAGCAGGGACGATATTGCTTTTAAAAGCAAGTCCGTCATTTTTTTAAAAATCATAAGATTATCTTTATTGAACGCATGTTTTGAGAAGTTTTAATGCCAAAAAGTACTCACTAATAATTTAATTTCTAGTAACATGTTTTGCCACTAAAAAGTGTCATTGGTGAGCTTTGACGTAGGCCACATGCGTATACAAAAAGTGTGCGAGAAGCGGTAAGTGCTGTTAACAATTCTATTTTCCGCATGAAGGAGGCTTGTAGTATTTTATACAAATTTATAAAGAAAAGGTTTTTAATCTAGCCTCAATTATTGAGGAAAAATAAGCTGAAGTTAAGACAAACTGCTGCGCAAAATGTGGGGGGAATCACTCGTTATAAAGATATTAAAATTGAGGATAAGTTGCACCACACATTTTTGACCGCACTATTGTTAATTACCCCTGTGCCTTTTTGCACTCACCGAAATTCTGTTACACAATGTAGGCCTATAATTATGGGTTTTATACTTTTGTTAAGACGGAACGTTTTCTCATTCCCAAGATGGTGCAAAATATTATTTTCATGCCTTTTGCATACAGACATTCTTTTACTTTATAATTTTCTTTACGCCATTAAGTGTTATTAAGTTATAAGAGTTCCGGAAGAAAGCCAGTAGTTGTAATATTATTATGGTTTATCAAGCATTCTGTTGTGTTATTTTACAAGTCAGAATTCAGAGTAGGCTATTGGTTAAAATGTGAACTCATCGTGCATGTCCACCTCATTTGTTGACTTGTTAAGGTGAGAGTTCAGTAAATTGTGCCACTGTAATTTTTCGTTCTATCTTATATATAGCCTATAAAATATGTTTTAAAAAAGTAGGCCTTCATCATGTTGATATCTTCATACTGCGCTGGATAATTTTATCTGGTATTTGATAGTTTATGGGCCCCCAGCCTAAGGGGAACATGGTTTTATCAACTCATAAAGCAGAGCCACTTTTCCAGTGTTTTCATCTCACAAAATATAATGTAGTTGCATACAGTAGATCGTTTGATAGGTCTACAACATTTCTTCCACCAATTTTTAGTCTATCTAGGTGATATAAGGTATAGAGAGGAATTGTACAGGGTGGTAAAAACAACAGAAAAAAAACAACAACCCAAAAACAAAAACAAAAACTAAACAAAACAAAACAAACTGTACAAATTTTTTTGTTAATATTTTCCTCCACACTAAAGTTTTGCGTTTCAAATTTGTGCACAACATTTGAAAGTCAAAAGAAATTTGTCGGATATTAATTTTACATAAATCCACGGAATAGTTTTGCTCTACAAAGCACGTAAAAAAACAACCCATTTTCAGCTATGTCCCCATTTTTGTAGCATAACACACTATTTCGCATTAGGCCTACCACTCAAAATCCAAACGTTTGCGACGTATTGCAAGCTACAGTAGTCTAACAGGCCACAGAAGTTTGCAGATAGTTTTTCTCAAGCTTCCTTTGCCTGCTGAGATCATGGTTAAGATAAGTAAAGAGCAGAGAGCTTTTTGTATCGAACATTTCCTCATCACCAACTCATTTCGTAAGTTCCGCACAATTAAAGGTACGGAAAGATTGTTAAAGTGCCCTTATAAGGCCTTCTTTGATGTCAAGGGTGGAAATGGTCTATCACGGACCTGTAGAGAATCAGACCTAAAAAAATTCCCAGACAAAACAACCACTTCAGGTCAAACACACATACAGCTCGCACCCTTTTAAAAGCCACCAGGGTGCAGAATTCAGTAGATGAGCCCCATGAGACGTCTGTCCGTAGACGATGTCTGCAGCAATGACTTTCCTACATCTCAACGGTCCGAATTTTCAAGGCAGATCTTCATCTATGACTATTTCATTTTCCCGTTCGCGAAGCTATCAGAGGATAGCAATGTGTTCATGATTTCTCGTTCGTTTTGAAAAGCGTGAACATTTCCTCTAGGACATTTATTATTTTAGTTCCATGGCAAAGCCCTTATTCCCCTTTCAGGTTACATCAACTCCACAAATGCAGTATGTTTGGGCAACCTCACCCCCCCCCCCCCCCGCCATTGTCTCTAGAAACAACTCCATACTGTAAGGTGCACAGTGTGTGTGGCTCTGAGTACTCATGGTTGAGTGGATGGTGTTTGGCCACCCCCTGATGAGTACTCATGGTTGAGTGGATCCATGTGTTTGGCCACCCCTGAATATTACAAACGACGCGTTGAAATGTGTCAAGTCCAAAGGAGGACATAAAATAATAATAATAATAATAATAATAATAATGATAATAATAATAATAATGATAATAATAATAATAATAATAATAATAATAATAATAATAATAATAATAATAATAATAATAATAATAATAATAAATTGCATTTATATAGCGCATTTCCACAAAGAAGTGCTCAATGCGCTGTACAATAATACAAAGAACGTATGCAGTGCACAGCTCTTATAGTAATCCTTTCTCTCTCTCTCTCTCTCTCTCTCTCTCTCTCTCTCTCTCTCTCTCTCTCTCTCTCTCTCTCTCTCTATCTATCTATCTATCTCTTTCCCTCTGTCTCCCTCACCCTCTCTCTCTATCCCTCTCTTCTCTCCAGTACATCCTTGAGTAAAGACAATCCCACAAACTTACCCAAATATTCTCATACACATTGATGACATCACACAGTCATAAATTCTTACAGTCTTACAGAACAAAACAGCATGAATAGCCAATACTGAGAGAACATAATAATATTTATATTGGGAATGTCGGAAATTACAGATTGAAGCTGGACTGAAACAAATGCGTTTTAAGAGCTAATTTGAATTTTGTTAAAGTGGTAGACTCCCGTAGATGAGCTGGCAAAGCGTTCCACAGGAGGGGGCGTGGTGGAAAAATCTCTCCCTCCGAGTCTCTTGATTTTTGCTTTGGACAGGTCTTAAAAGTCTTTTCTTCGCCGATCTTAAAGGTCGAGATGGTATATATTCGATGACCATGTCACAAAGATATGACCATTTTCGAAAAAAAAGTTTCTTCTCAGTGAATTATATGACCATTTTCGAAAAAAAAGTTTCTTCTCAGTGAATTATATGTCAAACACATTCCTTTTGAATGAATTATATCTGTTCCAAATTACAACATTCTAGTAAAGTTTTGTGTGATATATTTAGAAAAAAAAAGTAGTACAGTTTTTTTAAAATCACCCTGTATTGAAAATATTATTATATCTGCACCCCCACCCCCTCCCCCTTTCTTGCGCCACCCCATGAAAACCAACTAGAAGCAAACAAGTATCCCCCCCCCCCAAACCATCTGCTCCTGTTGTAGGAAAGTAAAGGGGAGGATTTGGGGTGGGGGTGGGGGGGGATTAAAGTATCACAAATATCTGTTTCAGGAATGACCAGGTATATAAAATGATCATACCTGTCTGACTGTTGCACTGCGTTAATAACGTGCTTATTTTTATTCTTCTATTTATTTTCCACCAGTTTGCACAGAGCAGTGAGCTGATTTAATACGTACAAAAGGCGAGAAAATGGCAAGGCGAGTGGCTGTGGTAAGTTCTTTCTTCATCTCTGTTCTTCTTGTGTCTTTATCGTAGCTGTGACTTCCCTTGATTGATAGGCCTACTGAAATACGGTTCGCAATTGGTCGCTTCTAAGAAGGACAAGCGGGCTAACCTAGATTTCGGGGGGTTTCGAGAAATATTGACCTACACCAAAAGTGGGCTTTGCCCTACCTATAGGAGAAGTTTGGTTTCATTGGTGTAGTTTGAATATAGAGAAAACTCTCCTTGTCTTCTATTAAAGAAACTGAGCAAGGAGCGAAAACTCTACCTTCGATTTTCTCAAAACAGCATTTTCGGGATAGCCCCCTCGCACTTAAAAGCGACCAATCGCTATTATAGTGCTCATATTTACCCCCCACCCAAAAAAAAGCAAAAAAAAAAGCAACCTATACGTAAGTTACCTGTCAGTGTTTTGAGTTGCCTTATTTGCCCACTAATGAGGGGAACATAATTATCAGTTCTCGAAGGTGTTGCGTTTTACTTTCCCTAGAGAAGAGAAAAACCACATTGAGATGTCTGCTCCAAGAAATGGCAGGCTACAACATAACTTGACTACAGTTTAATCAAATTTTAATGGTCTGTGCTGATGAATCGAGTCTACCAGAAGTTTACAGAAATTTGGTTATAAATCAAATCATAGTTTGAGCTTGTTGTTAACAATCAATATATAAAGTATTCCAAAGAGGTTAACTCCTATGATTTGGTATATTCTGGCGTATTTCTTCTTCTTCTTCCTCGTTCTCGATGGCGTATTTAATTTTTCATGAGATAAATTGTTATGAAGTTTTTGTTTGTTCTAATCACTTCCCTTTGCAGGTGACTGGCTCCAACAAAGGGGTTGGCTTTGGCATTGTCAGAGCTTTGTGCCAGAAGTTTGACGGTGATGTCATTTTGACAGGTAACTCCTTCTGAAAACTCGTGTGTGTGTGTGTGTGTGTGTGTGTGTGTGTGTGTGTGTGTGTGTGTGTGTGAAAGAGAGAGAGAGAGAGAGAGAGAGAGAGAGAGAGAGAGAGAGAGAGAGAGAGAGAGAGAGAGAGAGAGAGAGAGAGAGAAAGAGGGGGACTTGAATCTCATACAGCGAATGGCGTCTAGCTGAAGGATTGTAATAGAAACTTTGTGGTGGAATCTGTCCTTAAAGCCTTTGTGTTCATTAATTGTTATTTGATGGTGATATCATTTTGACAGGTAACTCCCTCTAAAAACTTGAATCTCATACATAAAATGATGCTTAGCTGAAGGATTATAATAGGATCTTTGTGGCGGAATATGTCCTTATAGCCTTTGTGTTAATTAATTGTTGTTTGACATGGCATCTAGCTTCTTCTCAGTAAGAATGTAGTTTACATTTAGCTCTGCTGATTAGACTGGATCGTTATTCAGAGACTATTGGCTTGTTCTGAGCCGAACTCTTATGCCTTCTTTGTACAAATAGGCTGGGTGTGTGAGTTCTGCAAGAGAGGTTATGTTTTCAATGAAGAAGAAAAATAATGTAGATGATCTGATCTACAAGTTTAAACTCTCTTTAAATAAAGAATTGTTCAAATGTGAAGGGGGGTTTGGCCTGTAGCAATATGTTTAATACTATGAACATTAAACATGTAACCATAAAAAGGGGCAGTTATAAAACAGGAAGGTGATTCCAGCAAATAGCCTTGCTATCAACTGGAAAGGTACCCCCCCCCCCCCCAACCCCATGTGCCTAGTTATTGAGTCATTGTCTTCTTTTCCTGGTCTTGTTATCTTTTTCAACAACTTCCAGACTTATGTTCTCGTTGGTTGTGTGCATGGGTGAGTGCAGAATAGGACCTTTGTAATACTGTTGTCACTGTATGCGACTTGGGCAAATAAAAAATACCCTGAAAAGCTGCCCCCCAACAAAATCATAGTAAATGTGTAAAGCTTATTCCCCCCCCCCCCGAAAACCCCCCAAACAAAACAACTTACAGACTTTGAGCCCTTGTTATTTCTTGAAAATGTCCAGGTGTGATGTGGGTGGACAGTCTGAGGGTCCATTCTTCAACGCCAATCTTCATCTGTATCACTTCTCTGTCCTGCTTGCAGCGCAGTATCTATTTGGAGACGTCTCCGATGGAGATAGACCAATCAAATTACTTTGTTTGTACCTCTTGACTCTAGACCAAATAAAAAGTCTGGGGGTTACACATGCTCCCCTGTTTTCACCCATAATTTGATATTTTACATTTAAGTTTGAAATTTTCTTGAAAATAATTGATTTGCGACAGTTTTAGCGGCTATATGTGTGATCTGCAGCAAATAATACGTAGTTTGACACCCTAAAGCAGTGCATCTGTGGGCAGGAGTGCGACTCTGAATAGTTCCTGGGTGCTCGCCGGAGAGGTCTCCGAATATCTTCTGTCGCTTGCAGAGCAGGTGATAAATTGAATAGGTAATGATCATAGAGACATGTACAGACGAAATAATTATTGGCTATGACGGCCACTCATTGTTGAGGATAAAAGTGGCTGTCTTAGACATATTATGGGTCGACATTTTCACAAGTCGTTATAATATTTTTTAAAAAGAACGTAAGGGTGGGAATGGAAAGCGGCCATTTGTGCAGGTGATTGTCTTATACAGGTGGCTGTTGGAGCAGGTTCGACTGTATTCAAAAAGGGAAGAAGTTTGAGCGAAAACATTTTCTTTACCTTTGCCACTAATATAGGTCTATACATGTGTTCTCAGCTCGGGACGAAGGGCGTGGGAAACAGGCGGTGGATGCTCTCAAACAGGAACGGCTCAGTCCGCTGTTCCATCAACTGGACATCACTGACCATAACAGTGTCGTCCGACTACGTGACTTTCTCAAAGAAAAGTACGGAGGTCTAGATGTGCTTGTCAACAATGCAGCCATTTCTTACACGGTGAGGGGAGGTCAATGTTTTCTTCTTCTTCAGCTACTGTACTAAAGATACGTCTTAAAATGCGGGTGGTTGGTGGGTGCTCTGGTGTGGTTTGCTCCTTCTTTCTTGTCATTCATCTATCGTCCTGTCATTCCTCTATCGTCCTTATCTCCCCTTTTTCTTTTTTTTGTGTTTGTTACTCTCTTGTAACACCTCTAATTTTTTCAGCACTTATAAGACCTTACCATGTTGCAAGTGCTGTAAAACACTTACGAGAACACCCCTCCCCCCAAAAAACAAACAAACAAACAAACAAACAAACAAACAAACAAACAAAACAAGCCACTTCTTAAATTTGTTGCCATTGCTGCCAGTTTTGTTTGAAGAATGTAAACGTACTTAGAGCAGCACAGCAGAAAATTGGAAATGATAGATAAAATATTTGTTCTGCTTCGGAAACAGACTCAAATCTTTTTCATGCTAAACCGAGAAGGTATACAGCTACAGACAGCACAAGATCTTGTCAGTTTGTTAGTATTTTAACGCTTAATTAGTGGCTTGCATTTTATGCTTCTGGAGAACCCAAGAATGTTACGAAGTGTTCGAGGGTCTGCTGGGGGTAATAATGTAGATGGTGAAGTGCATTGACCTCGCTGTTCAGTGGGGATATGTGATGTACAAATACTATTTATCATTATTTATTACTTTCTGACTTCAGGGTTCATCCACGGCACCAGTTTCAGAGCAAGCTAAAGTCACGCTGAAGACCAACTTTGATGCTACCCTCGATGTCTGTGAAGTGCTGTTTCCTCTATTGCGACCTCATGCTCGGTAATGACATCTGGTTTGGTTGATGGGTTGGAAATCATAATAGTGTACTCCCCCCTC